TTCTTGTGTTTTATTTATTCCCACATTTATTTATTTCAGTTTTTTCTTACATTAATGTATTCTTTAATTTGGTTATTCCTCTATTTATTCTGTATTTATGCATTTATTTATTTTTTACTTATGTCATATTCGGTCCTCCGTGCTCGTTGTGGGCTTAACCCTCCTGTTGTCTTTGGGTCAAATCTGACCGATTTACTACTTTCATCAATCATAACTTTTTTGTTTTACATTATTGCATTAAGGCTTTATGATATCCTTCACATTAGACATTTGAAATATAAAATTGCTGATCCCCACTTTCATTGAATTGTGGATGATTTAGTCAACTTTGTAACACCCATGGTGTTTGTTCCCGGTCAAAAATGACCGGCATAAAGAAATTGAATTAGTAACCATCCGGATCAGATAACACACACACNGGAGGAACAAGATTTCGAAATGCTCCTCATACGTAGCAGGAGCATCTTTTCTTTAATCGCTCTAGGATGACACGGTGTTGCGTGTTGGAACGGTTCGTGTGTATTCTAAGGTGAAGATGAGTGTGTTTGAAGGTGTGGTCTCAGTTTAGATGGTGGGAGCAAGATTCAAAATTTCACGGTTTCAAAAAGTGGGTTTCCAATTGGTCTTTATTATTAGTACGATATCTAAATGTTCACCAGACCTTTCAAGAAACACTTCATTATTTTGGTCTGAATTTTGTTCGTAACCCCCCCACATGTTCTTCACAGAGAGAGACTCAAATCAGGAAATAATCAAGACTTTGGAAGCCCTGACAAACAGACCAAAAGATATATTGAGACTTTTCGCGCAAAAAAAGTCAGATTATTTTTTGCAAAAGCCTTAAATTTAGATCTTCAGAAAAAGGTTCGGAAATTTAATGAGAAAAGGTTGTGATCTTTTCCAAGAAATGCCATAATTCTTGAGTTTTTCGGAAAAAAGTCAGATATTTTCTGAAGAAGAATCACAATGTTGGATAGTTTCGCAAAAAAGTCAGAAATGTATGAAATGTTCCAAATAAACATTTTAATAGAGATTTCCAAAAAAGAAGTTTTCCGCAAAAAGTGTAATATTTTTTGCGTAAATGTTGAGAAACCAGTTCGGCCTCGTTTTATAATGTTACCAGGAACCTTGTCAAAGCACTTCATGTATTTTGGGTTGACGCTTGGTTTGAAAGCGGCGCGGCCCCACATGTGTCTTCACGGGAGAGAGACGTCAGAATCAGGAAATATAAACCCCCTTGAGAGAACAGACCAAAGGAGCGCGAATCAATCACCTGTTGGTGTTTGTCTCCGGTTCTTTTGAAGGTCACGCAGTCCGACCACGCTGTTTTGAAGGGTTACGGATGGAAAACAGTTTCCCATTAGACCACGCAGCAGGTGACCAACAATAACAGTCATTAGCCCAGAGATGTGGCGATATAAAAAAAAGTGTTTCTGAGAAAAGAAAGAGAGATCATTATGAGGTTGTATCCTAGGAAGGTTTTCCAAAGGACTGCTGGACAAAGACGATGTTCTCTCTTCAGTGCTGCTTAATACCTGAAACCTGCAGATATCAGACCGCTCCATTCAGGAGCAGCTGGCTCATCACACCAGGGGAGTCTCTTCAGTCATCAACATGTGGTCCCCTCTCTTCATCGTCTCTCTACGTCACATGTGTCCCCTCCTTCATGTATCTTAATCAACGATGTGTCCCTCTTCTCCATGTCTCTTCTACATCACATGTGTCCCTTATCTTCTTCATGTCTGCTTGCTACGTCACGCGCATGTGTCCGGCCTTGCTGTCTCCATGTACTCTTCTACATCAACATGTGTCCCCTCTTGCTTCATGTCTCCTTCTACGTCACCCAGTGTCCCTCGTCTTTCATGTCTCCTTCTACGTCACCATGTGTCCCCTCGTCTTCATGGGGGGTTCTCTTCTACGTCACCATGTGTCCCCTCGTCTTCATGTCTCTTCTAACGTCACCATGTGTCCCCTCTTCGTTCATGTCTCCTTACATCAACATTGCCCCCTCTTCGTTCATGTCTCTTCTACATCAACATGTGCCCGCCTCTTCTTCTGTCGTCTTCTACATTCAACTGTGTCCCCTCTTCTAGCGTCACCATGTGTCCCCTGTTCTCCATGTCTCTTCTACATCAACATGTGCCCCTGTTCTTCATGGTCTCTTCTACATCAAGCAATGTGTCCCCTCTTCTTCCATGTCTCTTCTACATCAAACATGTGTCCCTCTTCTCCAGTCTCTTCTTACATCAACATGTGTCCCCTCTTCTTCATGTCTCTTTACATCAACATGGTGTCCCCTGCTTCCTTCATGTCCTTCTTCATACATCAACATGTGTCCCCTCTTCTTCATGTCTCTTCTACATCAACATGTGTCCCCCTTCTTCATGTCCTCTTCTACAGTCAACATGTGTCGCTCCTTCTTCATTGTCTCTTCTACATCAACATGTGTCCCCTCTTCTTCATGTCTCTTCAACATCAACATTGTGTCCCCTCTTCGTCATGTCTGCTTCTACATTTCAACATGTGTCCCCTCTTCTCCATGTCATCTTCTACATTCAACATGTGTCCCCTTCTTCTTCATCTCTCTTCATACATCAACATGTGTCCCCTACTTCTTGATCAATAGTGTAGCGGTGTGTTTCTACCAAGTACAGTTTTAGGGAAAAACAAAAGTTAGGGGGGGCAGCTGGGGGGCAAGGCGTCTACCAGTGCCCCCCTGGTAGGATCCGCCCCTGCCGCTGTGCGGACAAACTCCTTAAATAAACTATTAAGAAGGCAAATCTGAGATTTGCAAGGCCGGCCTGGCTGGTGAGGAGAGTTATTGCCACTCAGGCGCACAGTTCGTACGTGCTTCTTGGCCGTCAGCTGAAGTCTTTGCGGTGTGTTCCAGTTCGACCGTTTGGGCCAAGGCGCAGGAGACGGAACAGTCGGGTCCGTCTGTGTGAGTTCTTTGGGGTCAGCTTGGTGTGTCCGGGCCTTAAAGTAACAGACTGAGAATCAGCACTTTTGAAACAGGGCTGAAACAGAGGGGATTATGGGTAATGCTGCAATGATCTGTTTGGTGTTTGGAGCCAAACACTTCAGAGACATGTTTGGTATTTATCTGAGACCTATAATATATGGATGAAAAACAGTATAATAGGGGAACTTTAAACTGTAAAATAAGTTTTTAAAACCTATTTAAGATAACACATATACCATCATACATCATGTCAAGCTGTTTTTCTTTTTATAGGAGGCCTGTGCAGTTGGTATTGAAGCAGGAATCAATTTGTCAGACCATCTGATCACTGCGTACCGCGCTCACGGCTACACTTACACCAGAGGAGGGACTGTGAAGCAGATCATGTCCGAGCTCACCGGTGAGGCTGCAAATCTGACTCACTGAGACGTCATTAGTCATTTTTTGGTTATTTTGTGAATGATTTTTAGATGCACACATAGTTCTTGTTTTTCACTCACTTCTACTTTTATATCCTTAAATATTTTTGTTTTTCAATTTCCAGGCAGAAAAGGAGGTATTGCAAAGGGCAAAGGAGGCTCCATGCACATGTACACTAAAAACTTCTATGGAGGAAATGGAATCGTCGGAGCTCAGGTATATCACAGAAGTCTTTTTCAGTGAATCGATTATTGTTTATTTTTGTCACATTCTCTCGAGCTTGAGTCAGCGACTAGCATGCTGTATGTTGGAACATACCCACCAAGTGCTTTAGACATTAGTAAAGTATATTTATCTCCTCAGGTTCCTCTCGGTGCTGGTGTGGCTCTGGCCTGCCAGTATCTGGAGAACAACCAAGTGTCCGTCAGTCTTTATGGTGACGGTGCTGCCAACCAGGTATGGTACAGGAATCAGTGCGGTGTTAATCAATGAGAATAATCCTGTCCTGTTGGTGAACATCTTAACATAAATGATTTGTGTGTTTCACAGGGTCAGATTTTTGAAACTTACAACATGGCAGCACTTTGGAAGCTGCCCGCCATCTTCATCTGTGAGAACAACAGGTATGGCATGGGGACGTCAGTGGAGCGCTCTGCTGCCAGCACAGACTACTACAAGAGAGGAGACTACATTCCCGGTCTCAGGGTACTCTTCTTACTCACTTTTTAAAAACCTTTATGTCTATATTTCGAATAACAGCTATGTGGTCGAATTTTACTTGAAAATACGTGGCAGATTCAATCTGGATTAAGATCACGATGATCTCGGCAATTATTCAAATTACTTGTGGTTCCCAGGTCATACTAGTCCACTCCGAATAGGGCTTTACTTTACCAATTTGAACAAGGTACAGTAGGTGTGGTGAGAGCAGTTGTACGCCAAGTGACTGAATTTAATTTGATGCATACTTAGTACAAATTCAAACAGCTGTCTTAAATGCAGTACCTTGTAATAATAATAGGAATACATGGGATTTTGATAGCGCTTTTCCTAATGCTCAAATACGCTTTATGTCAAATCACACACAGCAGCCTGAAAAAATGATATTGTTAACCTAGCAATGCCATGATGTGACACTAGTCAAAACAAATGAGCGTTTCTTTAATGAGCGTTATCTTTTTCCGGTCAAAATTAAAAAAAACATACATTTCTATATGCATTACCTGAAAGCGGCAAATCTTGATTCAATGACATTTGGGGTATTGTATTTGTGTCCAGGTGGATGGGATGGATGTTCTCTGTGTTCGGGAAGCCACCAAATTTGCAGCGGATCACTGCAGAGCTGGGAAGGTGAGTTTAAACACTATGAATTATAACAAGAAGGAAAATGAGTTTGCTTGTTTCTCATCAAAGTTATATTTCTCCTACCTTTCATCAGGGTCCCGTTCTCATGGAGCTTCAGACCTACCGCTACCACGGACACAGTATGAGCGATCCTGGTGTCAGGTAAAAGATTGCAGTACAATTAGTTTGAACTGATTATTACACGTTTATTGTTTTTGAAGCACTTATTTATTATTAATCATCTCACCACCAATGTTACCCTCCATGTGCCGCTCCCCTTGCTTCTGCCACAGTAGTCTTCATATCCCCTCCTTCCAGCCGTAGTGCCCCCACCTCAGCGTAGGGATGAACTTAACACATTTTGATACGAGAAACTGGCTCTAATAATACAGGAGGGATTTCTCAAAGCTCTGAGAAATGTAAACACACCACAAACTATTGCAAAGTGAATTCAATGTTGTTCTACTTGCTAAAATGGTCACAAATCCCTTCATCTGTATTTAGGGGATTGTTATGTTGTTGTTTTTTTACAATGACCCCAAACTAATTTGATTTGGCGTCTGGTTTAAGAAAGACTTAAGGCTGAATTAGTGCATCCCTGCCCTGATCTCTCCCCTCTCAGCTACCGCACACGTGAGGAGATCCAGGAGGTCCGCGGGAAGAGTGACCCCATCTCCCTGCTGAAGGACCGCATGCTCAGCAACAACATGGCCAGCATCGAGGAGCTCAAGGTACAAAACATGTTCCGTTTGTAAAATTAAAGAAATGCTAACACAACTAGTTGTCCACTGATTTTTAAACTTCCACCATTTGTTTCAACAACATCGTCAATCTTGTTTCTAATGTTTTGAAAAAGGATCAAGAAGAAAAGGGAGAGAAGCATATTTTGCTGTGACCTTGACTCCCTAAAAGTCTGGAATACGTGTTTGTTTTGGGGTTTGAAACTAGAGATAAATAAGTCAAACTTTCTGAGGTGTTATGAATGCACCTATATCCTAACAAGATATACCTGCAATACATCCACATGTCATCTAGATCAGTGGTTCTCAACTGGTCAGGCCTCGGGACCCACTTTTTCCTTAGTCAATAGATCGCGACCCGAAATTTTGAACCACTCAAATCTATTCAACAAAACATAATTCATTTTTATCTGAAGTTGTACCCGTGGATGTATAAAGAATAGTTCTACCGTAAAGTTATTCTCCGTGGGGACTTCCGGCAACAATCTTGATTCTGATTGGCCAGAAGACTCGAAAAAACATCAGCAAAGATGTTTTATCGAGAAGATGATCACTACGTGACAGAAGTTTTCAAAACCGTTTATGGTCTCCGGTACTTCCAGTCCAACGCCTACTGCACAGCGTTGGAAAATCGGGCCTTCAAAATAAAAGTTTGACTTTTTTTCTTCACTCACAGATCTGCGACCCACTCGAAACGGGTCCACGACCCACTTTTGGGTCGCGACCCACCAGTTGAGAACCACTGATCTAGTTAACACAAGCAATTCAGCATAACACAAGATAATTCAGCAAATATCTTCAGATTTAGTGTCAGTTTTATAATCACAATACTATGCCTGTTTAGCTGTTTGAATACACTGGCTGCTGTGATAAGAGATAATAAAGTGTGTTTGACTGCATTTTGCTTTTAAATATAACATGTGAGATATTGTTTAAGAGATTTCACACAAAGCTGCCGTGCATTGTTTCCACACTAGAGAGGGCTTACTGGTGTTACTGGTTTTAGCTTCTGTCTCATTACTTTGTTATCTCAGCTGAAGTAATCGCAACACAAATTCTTTAGAAGACAATCTGACCTCAAACACAGAGGACTAGAAAACATAGTTTGAGAGTTACTTTGAGTTCAGGAATATAAGAAACTGGCAAAAATACAAGACTTATTTTATTCGGACCAGAATTTGTTGCCTATTTACTGTATATATTCTCATACGGCGTTCATTGCTTATGTACAAATTTTTACATGACAAATATTTTAGTTACCGTAATTTTCGGACTATAAGCCGCGCCTTTTTTCCCATTTTTCGACCCTGCGGCTTATATAACGGTGCGGCTAATCTATGGATTTTTACAGCTAACGGCCACTAGGGGACCTCCTAAATCTATGGATTTTACAGGTCACAGTCCACCACCTTTAACTCTATGGGCTCTATGGCCGGTCCGCGGACCCCCACCTTTAAGCGGCGGGTTCCAGCAGGAAAAGCTGGAGGCCGGAAAAGAGTGAGACAGGTAGCGCGCAAAAGTAAAAGTGGAACCGAGAGTGTACGAGAGACAGAACGAGAGCAAGACAGACAGACATTACGAGAGCGAGACAGTTTGTCCCCGTACCACTGGTTGAAAACCACTGCTGTAGATCACTGCCGGTACGTGCGCTGGGAGCGCACCGTTTAAGTTTGAAAGTTGAAAAGTTTGTGTGTCTGAAACGCTATGTGATACAGTACAGTTTACACAGCACAGTACATGTTCTGTAGCTACTATTGCACTAAATGGTAACACTTGAATACGTTATGCAAATATGCAACTTGTTTGTTGAAATGTTAATAAATGGGAGCTTCCTCAAACAGCCATCTCTTTCCCGACAATCCCCTCTGTGCACGAACCCTTACATATGGTAATTAAACATTAAAACACCTGCGGCTTATAGTCCAGTGCGGCTTATATATGTACACATCATTCAATTTAGCTGCTGCGGCTTATATTCAGGTGCGCCTTATAGTCCGAAAATTACGGTAATACACCTTAACGTCGGGGCGGGAGAGAGTCCTAAAAATTAGGATTGAAAGATTAGGTAGTAGAAAGTCGGTGTCTAGTAAGACTCGGACGACCGAAGATTACCAAGCCCGGCTGTAACTGTTATTTGTAGTACTTGTACTCGCTTCCATATGACTATAAGTTATAAAGTAATTTTTGCAATAATTTTGCACGGATGTTGAGTGCCATTAGAGTTAGGTTGTTATAAACAGTATGAAAATATTACCGTCCGAAGGCCCGGCCACAAGGCACCAGCTAGTCGAGGGTGTTCCGCGGGGCGGGGATGCCGCCACTCCGGCCTAGGACTACTGACCGTACTGCCACCAATAAAAAGGGGTATTCGCTTTGTTGCAGGGACGGTATTATAATAGGGCCGCCCGAATAAAATGCTTCCGCACCGCGGTGTAAGAGGTTGTTCTGGATGTGCCTGCCGCCTACTGAGGGTTAATAATTCACAATTGTACACTGGAAAGATACTGTACGCCGTAATGCCTTTGTCGAACGAAAAAATAAACGGTAAAAGTTTTCTATGAAAAAAGAACTCGATACCATAACTATTTCATTGTAACTGTACGTTAGGCGGATTCCTTCTTTATCCGGAAGGCGGAATCGGTCGAACGAATAGGGACAAAAGCACAATTTGTACAAAACGTACTTTGACCGCGGTCTGAGAGTCGAAACAGCTCGAAAAATGTTGTTGATTGAACTACGCCGGAGAGGGCTTAAGTTGTTGTCGGAGAAAGGGGCAGGGACCTGAAAGAGGCAAAGAGAGAGGTCGTCGATTTAGCAATTCTGACCCAATCGGCAAATTGACGACCTCACCTGAAGTATCCACTTGTAACATGACACTGTTCCGGCTGAAAATGTCAAGTCACGTGCATTTTGTCCCGCTGGAGTCGGTACTGTAAGGCGCACCCCGACCCCCGCGCGAACGTTTCCGTTATGCCCCGCCCTCTGATGTCTAAGGTCTTGCATCCCGTGTGACCTCGCTCATCAGTTAAACACCGTTGGAATGCGATCAAATAAACTACCCGAAAATACAACACATCAGCCGCCGCAATCTATTTCGCTCGACCAAGATACGGATTCCAAGCGTCTCCCCGAGCACACGTTAATCGCCGGTCACGTCCGCTGGAAGGAGCATTTCTCGGGAGCCAGTGTGTTACGCCTGCCTTCTAGTAGAGCTCAAATCACCACGACCTTACGATCGTTATTTAGGAAGGTCTGGCGCCTGTGTAACATTCTTTTAATCGGATTGACATTCAATTCCTTAGTAAGGCCTTATAGCATGTAGACAGAACCGCTGACATTGTGTTATTTGTACATATTTGTAATCTATTGTATCGGCAATTGGCTACATAACTGTGTTGTCAAGATCGGAAACGCTCACAATGACTGGACTACGGACAAAAATCCAATGATACTTAATTACCCACCTGACTGCGAAAAATTGTATGTCCTAACGTTTCGAGTAAGTCCATCCTTTTTCCACTGTTACTAGGCTCCCGCGGGCGGCCGAGGGGGTGGGGTGCCTTATAGCCAAAATTTTAAACTCCTTAATGTCTCCGCTAAACGTCTTGTTGATTTCGGTCGGTCACAATTATTATTGTCTTTGCGGTTCTCAGTGTAGATCATCTTTATATATTTTCGGTAAATAAAATTTAACGACATCGTCAAGCTCAAATATTAAGAACCGTCGTGTCTTAATTTTCTGTATATAATACACTTTTACATAAAGCTCGACTGAGAACACGGTTCCGAATCAGGCAAAGAGAGAAATATCGGGTACGCCCCATTCATTGATTCAAGTATTGAGTTGTTCCATGTATATGACCCGGTGTATAAACCTCCATTATGCACATGAAATAAATTCATAAAGTTACAAAACGGATGAAACAAGAAGATGAAGGTGATGTCAGTCTCCATGTACCAACGAATGAAGATGAGCGGCGATGTACGATAAATTATGGAAATCAATGGAAATGTCTACACCATCCTACACCACTTATATTAGTTCACATAATTTAGACTCTGAAATCAGAGGTGGACCTCCAACCTTTAGGTGTTCTGGGGATGGGACGCTCATATGTTCTCAGTAAGTTGATCGGACCCCAGTGGATGGTCGAACCTCTTTGTGAAAGTGCTAGTCTCAGTAATATTTTTTCGAGCTAGTGATAGCATAATAAGACTTCTACCATCGGTTAGACGTGTTACTCGATGAAATGACAGGATCGAAAGTGCATAGAACTACTATTATGAAAAGATGAAAATGAACTCGTTGTAAAAACTTACGTCCTGAAAATGAACATTGTCTCGATAAGGCTGTGAAGACATGACAAGATGAAAATGAGTCTCAGTTCTAGACCTTCAATGAAGAGGAAAATGAGTTCATGTTCTGACTCTGCAGCATGAAGATGAGTCATGTTTCCTAGACCACACGGAACGATGAAAATGAGTCTCATGTTTAGCATCATGAAGATCGAAAATGAGTTCATGTCTGGGACATCATGAAGATG